CTCCTAGCGGTTGCGCCATAGGTTGCGCCCTCGGCCGCCGACAATACAAGCGTCTCCTACCGGTTGCGCCATAGGTTGGGTCCTCTGCGGCCCGAGATACAACTGTGTCCTATCGGTTGCGCCGTAGATTGCGCCTTCGGCTGCCAATCATACGGTCGCGTCATACGTTGCGCCCTGTGGGGCCGAGAATACAACCGTCTCTTACTGGTTGCGCCATAGGATGGGCCTTCGGCGGCCAGAATAAAACCGTTTCCTAGTGGTTGTGCCATAGGTTGCGCCTTCTGCTTCTCAGAATATTACCGTCGCGTGACGAGTGCGACTGGTTAGTTCAGTTGAGTTCAGCTCGGTTCAGTTGAGTTTGTTTCAGTCCCGTTGAGTCCAGTTCAGTTTACCTCGCGAGAAACAACATCTGGCTACGCAGGACAAGCAGGCCGGCCCCAGGGGCAGTGAGGCAACTCGGGGAAGCATTCTGGAGAATCATGGGCCGGGTCGGACTGCAGGGGGTCGGATACGGAAAGGGGGGTGCAGCATCTGCGGCGTGCAGCTGGCTTCGGCCCCGCCGCTGGGCGCTTTTCCTGGATTCGTTTGCGCCTCCCGGTGCCAGGAGTCGCTTGAAAACCAGATGCGCGAGCTACTTCCTCCTAACTCCCCCTTGCTATCCCCCACCTAGGTCCGCCCCACATTGGGCCTCTCAGACAGGACTGGAGGCTTCCAAGAGGGCTTGTCTCGAGGGCAGGATCGTTCCTTAGCAAGGCCGCCCCCCTCGGCTGGCCCCCTCGGGCCACTCGGCGCGCCGCCAGGTCGTCGCCGCCACCGCCGCCGCCGTCGCAGCGCCGCCTCCCCTGGCAAGCGCCAACTATGCAGCGCCCCCGGCCCTGGCCAGGCCCATGCTAGGTCATGGGCTGGATCGAGTTCCGAGTCAACCCCGAGATCCCGCTCTGCGAGCAAACTGCAATTTCGCCCCTAAAAGCACGAGCGGAGCCCCTGACCGCATATCTCGGGTCATTCTCCGAGCCAGATCTATCTGTGAGGGCCCCAGGGCCTGACGCGGGGCGAACACGCACGTTGCGATAACTTCGCACCGCCAGGATCGCACGGGAGGTCCGAAGTCGGGGGCCAAGGTCTCTGCGCTGGGCCTTCCTCTGATGCTCCTCCTGTGCGCCGCCAGAGGCTTCCAACCGGGGCCGTCCTGGCGGGGGTTCCAGCAGAGATCGCACACGACGGCGGTCGAGGGCCCAGGGCGGGCCTATATCAGGAGGGGAAAAAGCACACAGACACAAGTCATCGTATGTCCTGGAAAATATGGGAAACTATGGAAAGTGGGGGGGAAGACAAAAACCCAGAAAATATAGGAACATATGGGGGATCGTTTTATTTGTGTGTATTTATTTGTGTGTCCCAGGGCCCCTTCACTATAGCCAGGAGGCCCTGAGATCCGAGGCTGGCAACGAACATACAACAGTACGAATATAATCACGACCAACGCCCTAGACCCTAGCTGCCTCGATACGCCCATTTCAATACGCACGTGCCGTGCTCAAGACGTCCATGTTGGCACGTTGCGTGTTGGCTCGGTACGAGTCGGCCCACGTCTGGGCGAACGTATCGCGCCAGACCTACAGTTCCAGTCTACGTGTTGAGCTCCGTGACGACACGCTGCTGGTTGCGTGTGATGTACCGGGGCGGCTGCGCCCGGGCCGCAAGCTGTCCGCAGCATGCTTCGAGCGGGGTTGATCTGTGATGGCCACGGGGCCCGGCGCCAGGCGGAGTCGCCCGGTGTGAAGAGGTGGCCACGCCCCGGTCTCACGGAAGGGCGGTGGCGTGGCGACAGCTCCCGGGCCTCAGGACAGGGACCGGGCGGAGGCGGCGCTCCTGAGGCTCTGCAAGGGCCTCCGCAGGGGCGAGACCCAGCTGCTGAGCGCCTACGTGCGCCTGTCGCCCGTGTGCGCCGAGCTCTTCTCCCTGTGGGACGACCGCGACGGGGGCGGCGGAGGCCGTCTGCCCTCGCTGGTGCTGGAGGTCCTGGCGTCCGTGCTCGAGGGGCGCTTCGAGCAGTCGGCGGGCACGGCCAAGACGGGGCCCAGCGTGGCGGCTCGGCTCGTGACCGAGCGCTTCCAGGCCCTCTTTCGGCTGCTGAGCTCCGACAGGGACCAGCTCCTCCGCGCGTGCCTGCGGGCGCTGGCGGGCGCGTGCTCGCAGAGCCCTCAGCTGGCGTCGCAGCTCCTGCAGGGCTTCAACTTCGAGCACGAGAGCTTCTCGCGGCTCGTGGAGCGGCGCTCGCAGGGCACCAGCCAGGAGGACGTGCGAAGCTGCTACATCCGCTTCGCGATGAGCTTCCTGAAGTGGAAGGATCCCGTGCTCACCACGGCGGTGATCGGCATCAAAGGGTTCGTGCCGCCCATTTTTGCGGGCCTGAAGAACGACCCGCCGGAGGACGTTGCCCGGCTTCTGCAGGACATGTCGGAGCTCGTGCTGAAGAACCGGCAGGTGGACCGCCACTCGAAGATCTTCCTGTTCAGCTCACGCACGATGCGCCGGTTGGCCGCCCTGCTCGCCTCCGACCACGGGCAGGTCGCGAAGGCTGCCCAGCAACTGCTCCAGTGCCTCTTCACGGACACGCACTTGTACCGGAGCGCGGCGCAGAGGCAGCTGCTGCTGGAGATCTGCCTGGAGATGCGGCCGCTGCAGGGGCCTCAGCAGGAGGTGATCTTGGCCACGCTGGAGGCCCATCCGCTCCTGCACCCGGCGCTCTGCGCCAAGATGTCCCTCTCGCTGCAGCCGCGCTTCTGCACGCAGTGGCTCCTGAACGTCGACTTCCTCGTGAGGCTCCTGCGCATGGAGGTCGCGGGCCCGCCGGCGACGCCGCGGCACGCCGACGACCTGGAGCCACCGCTCCGGCCAGGGGCCCCGGGCGCCTCCGGCCACGCCCTCGTGCCCCGAGCCGTGCAGAAGACGCAGCTCACGCAGGCGGTCCTCAGCAAGGACCTGCGCGTGGTGCTCGGGGCCCTGCGCCTGCTGTGCGCCGTGCTGGCGCGGGTCGGCCGCGGCCCTGGCGGCGAGCCGCGGGACGGCGCGCAGGAGGCGCTGGAGCTCGAAGGAGAAAGAGCGCCGTAAACAGAGACTTTTGGCGCTCCGCGCGGATTTCTTGGATCCGCGCTGGGCCCCCCCCGGGCGGCGCCTCCGGCGCCGCCCCTGGCGCCGGAGGCGCGCCAGGGAGGGGGGCCCAGCGGAGATCCAAGAGGCCCGCGCGCAGCGCCAAAAGTCTAGTGTGTTGGGGCGCGTTCTCTTCTTCCCAGGAGCGCGCCCAGCAGAGCGTCCCCGACCTCGGGACGCTGCTGCTGCTCTGGCAGAGGCTCGCGAGGGACGGCGCCGCCCCCGGGGAGGCCGAGGAGCTGCCCCTCGCCCGCGAGGGCGAGGACGTCGACGGCGCCCGGGCGGCGGCGCTGCTCGGCGTGGCCGAGGGCCCGCTGCGGGCGCACGTGGTGTTCGAGGCCTGGTGCGATGCCGTGCGCGCCTACCTGGAGGCGCTGCCGCAGGCGGCCCTGAGCGTGAAGTTCGACTGGTCCTCCCGGGGGGGGGGGGAGGGGTGCCGACGCCGCCGCGATCGCGGCTCGTCCTGGGAGGCCCTCGCGGAGCCGACGGGAGGCCCTCGCGGAGCGGCGGGGTTCTCCCCGACATTCCAGTCCGAAGTCGGGCCGGTCCCTCCACAGGAGGAGGAGGATTCCCAAATAGTCAAAACAATAATAGGTGGACGAAGTTTCTGCCGCGCTGGTCCATTTCAGAAGTCTGTTTTGATTGGTTCTTTGTATGTGCCATCAAATCTCCTCCTGCAGGACATGCCCGACTTAATTCTAGTCAGAACGCACCCCAGGAGAGGTCCCCAGAGTGGTATCGGCCCCCTGTTGCTCTCTTAGGTCCAAGCTCTTCCTTGCCGTCGCCTCGCAGCTGGAGCCCGTGGACTCTGGAAAGGCTGGCGGCGGCGGCGGGGGACCCACGGCCCTGCAGGGTGCGATCGAGCGGGTCGTGCCGTGTGTCCGGTGCGTCGAGGTGGCGCTCAAGGGCGGCGGCCGCCTGCAGCTCTCCAAGTCGCAGCTGGCGTGGGTGGAGTCCCTCTTCCGCGTGCGTCTCGTCGGCGACGACGCGAGGTCGGTTGCTGCCCGCTCCGAGTGCGAGGGCGCCCTCCGCCGCTACCTGCGCGGACTGGCCGTCTTCGGGGCCGAGAGCGACGCCGAGGTCTGCGTCTGGATCGAGCAGCTGCGAAGGCGCCCCGCCGGCGCGCCCTTCTTCGTGGCCTCGCTGCAGGCGGCTGCCGGGAAGCCCGGGCTCTTCCTCAGCCTCTGGCAGCGCGCGCTGGAGGCGGAGGCTGGAGCGGGCGGCCCGCAGAACGACGCGCCGTCTCCGCTGCTGGTGGCGGCGGTGCAGCGCCTGGCCCGGCAGGGGGGGCAGCAGCCGCCGCAGCCTGCCACCAGCGGCGGCACGAAGTCGTCCCTGGAGAGCGCGCTGCTGCTCAGCGAGGTCATCGACCAGCTCGCGGCGGTGCTGCCGCACAGCGCCCGCGGAATGGCGGCAGTGGTGCGCAGCCTCGGCGCGTGGGGCAGCGCGGCCGAAGGGGAGGCCCATATAGGGGGGCGAAGAGGGGCAGGAACACAAAGACCCGCGCGCCAGGGAGGGGGGTCCAGCGCGGATCCGAGCCATCCGCGCGGACCTCCGAGATTTCTATGCTCATGTCAGCATTGCCCGTTGCCCGAAGGTCGAGGCCGCGAGGCAGTCGCTGCTGGCGCGGCCCTGGGCACGGCCGAAGCGCGCCGCGGAGCTGGAGGGCGGGGCAGCCGGCGCCGCGAAGCGGCGCAGGGCAGGCGGCGCGGAGGCCCCGGCAGATGCCGCGGCGCAGCTCGAGGAGGCCGCCCGGGGCGTCGCGGCGGTGCTCCAGGTCTCACCGAGCGCGCTCCACGGCTCGCAAGCCCAGAGATCCAACGTGCATTGAAGGAATCAAGACCGAGGTTTTTCGCGAAGCTCGGCCCCTATAGGGGCCCTCGCCGGGCCTCGGGACCGTCAAAAAACGACTCGGGATGAGAAGCCGGTCCCGGGGAATGGGTCGAGACTTCCGGGGACCCCGCATTGAAGAAATCACGACATCGGATCTCAGGGAAGTGCCTACTCGCAGACGTCCAAAGAGCAGCTGCTCTTCGATACTTCTGGAGCTCGTCTGCCTCGGTGCAGTGGGTCCAGGCCAGTTGCGAGCAGCGACACATTGTTCATTTCTAAGTATTCGAAAGTTCTGTGATTTTGGGGGGGGCAAGATCCCTTCATTTCTAATCCTTCTATCCTGGGCCTCTTCCTGGCTATGGGGGGGCCAGGAGCAAGTAGGAACGAGCACAAGTATAGGAACGAGCACGCGATTAGAAAGGAACGACGTGTAGCTCTGCGAGTCGTGGGAGCGCGCTCGCCGAAGGTCGCGGCGGTGGCGCCCGAGCCCGCTGCTCCCGGCGGCGCCGCGAGGCGAGAGCTCGGGGCCCCGGCCGCCGGGGGCGCGGCGGCGCTCGGGGCGCTGCGGCGGCGCGTGGCCGCGGCCGCGCTGGGCGGGGGCGGGCTCGGCCCCTGGGGCGCGTACGCGATGCTCGAGGGCGCCAGGACCTGCGTCGCCCTGGGCGACCAGTACCGCCAGGCTCGGGGGAAGTTTATTATTATTATTCTTATTATTATTATTATGATTATTATTATTATTATGATTATTATTTTTACAAAAAAAAAATCAAACTTTTTAAACACATGAAAAAATGTAATTTTTTAATTGTATTTTCAACACAAAATACATGTTTTGAAGATTTTGGGGGTATGTTTGATTTGTTGTGCAAGATGCCCCTGTCGGGGGACATGCCCGACCTAAGCCCAGGATCACCGGAACGTAGGACTGGAGTGCGCCGGAGCTCGGGGCTGCCGACGCGTTCTGAGGGGCGCGTGCTGCATGCTGACGGTCGTCTAGCTCTCGTGGGGCTTCTGCAGCGGCGGTTCGCGTCAAACCTTAGGCTGGGCCTCGTCATTTTCAGTGTGGCCCCGTCAGGCCAACCCGAGTCCCCCGAACTCGAGCCTGACGTTTGAATCGGGCATGTCCCTCTACAGGGGGAATGTTCAAGAATGGGAAAAAATAGTCTGGTGACGATTGTTCGTGCTCAGTGGACTGTTTTTGATTCTTGATCGATTCTTTGTCGCTGCTTTCCAGGATCCGCCTGTCGGAAAACATGCCCGACCTACCGTTGAAACCAGGTATTTTCGGAGTCCCGTGTTCCAGTTGAAAGTGCCTTCCTACTTCAATGACCGAGTGGCTTCACCTCTCCCATCCTCTTTAGGAGGCGGGTGGAACCCACTCTATGTTCCACGCCTGCCTACTTCATGTTTCTCTCTACTTCTTCCGACCGATGGGTAACCGTACGTCTCCCCGATAGGCGGCCTGATTTTTTGGGCACGGCGTCCCCGGAAGTCCAGACCCTTTCCCCGGGGCCGCTTTTTCATCCCGAGTTGTTTGTGGACGCTCCCGCGGCCCGGCGAGGGCCCCCAGGGGCCGAAAATAGAGGAAAACCTCGGTCCAGATTTTTGTCATCGCGATCGTGCCCCGGCTTGCGTCTCCCCGACAGGCGGCCTGGTACCTCGTCATGCTCGCGGACCTGGTGGCCGCGGCGGCCTCGGCGCCGGCCGCCGGGGCGTGGCGTGCGGCCCGCCACCCGCTCTGGCACGAGCTGCTCCGCGCCGCCGAGGGGGCCGCCGCCGCCGGCCAGAAGCTCGCGCCGGACTGCAAGTAGGGCACCGGCTATCAGAGCCCCAAAATCATCAGGGGTAATTCGGGTCAGGGCTAACTCGGGTTCGTTTTTCGGGAATCCAAGCCCGAGTTCCTCCGGCCCGAGTTACCCCGGATAACTCGGGCGTCCAGAGCCCAAAAATCATCAGGGGTAACTCGGGTCAGGCTAACTCGGGTTCGTCTCCGGGCCCGAGTCCCCCGGATAACTCGGGCGTCCAGAGCCCCAAATCATCAGGGGTAACTCGGGTCAGGGCTAACTCGGGTTCGTTTTTCGGGAATCCAAGCCCGGGCCCGAGTTACCCCGGATAACTCGGGCGTCCAGAGCCCCAAAATCATCAGGGGTAACTCGGGTCAGGGCTAACTCGGGTTCGTTTTTCGGGAATCCAAGCCCGAGTTCCTCCGGACCCGAGTTACCCCGGATAACTCGGGCGCCCAAGGCTAGAGAGTTTCGGGTTGACCCAAAAGGGGGTCCAGCGATAAAGGGGTGCAGATTTGGTGCAATATAGACTTGTGGGGCTGCAACGCCTGTGCGGCGTGCAATACATTCCGGGGCGCAAATGTGTTGCTGGATTGTCGCGTGCAATACACTACTCTTGCATTCAATGCAATGCAACGCAGTATAATCCCCCAGCGCTCTACATTTGGAATACAGTTGCCCCAAGGGTATTGCAGCAGCTGGACCCCCTTTTGGGTCACCCAAAGAGTTGATTTATCCCAACCTTGATTTTCTCGTCGAACCAATGGGGAAACATCAACGTAGAAGAGTCAGTAGATCTAATACGGAGCATTGTTTGAGGCCTCCTGGGTGGGGTCGGAGGATCGTGCCGCATCGCCGATGCGGCTCAATATGGAGCCCGATTTGCTCCACGTCGACGATGCCGATGCATCGCCCACGTCGACGATGCATCGCCGGTGCATCGAATACGCCTCGCCGATGTGTCGGCGGTGCGGCGCGCTCCTGCGACCCCGACTACTCGGGCACCATCTATAGGAGGGGCGGGAAATCAATGTGGGTCAACATCGATTCTGACGTCCATTTCCCCAATTCTCGGGTGTTGCTAGAGGTGCCCCTGGCCCAAGGTGCCCCCCAGGATTTCTAAGGAGGCCCCTAAGAAGGCGTCCAGAGCACCCCTCGCGAGGCAGAAAGGGCCCCAGGGGCTCGAACATCGAGCGAAAGCCTGGGGGCACCTTGGGCCCGGGGCACCTCCAGCAACCCCCGAAATGCCTCGAGGACTGCAACCTCTGCCTGGCCCTGTCGCTCCTCGTGCTGTGCCGGCTGCTGCTCCGGGTGCCGCCCGTGCCGGGCGCGCGGCTGGCGGAGCTGTGCAGGGGCACCGTCCTGCCGCTGTGGCGCCAGGCCACCTTTGGCGCACGGGCGAGCAAGGCATGCTGCGCCCTGCTGCAGGAGCCGAGTGGGGGATCGACTACTACGGAATGGCTTCACCCCGGAATTGAAGTCCCTGTCGAAAATCAGCGGAAGAGGGCGTTGGATGCTCGTAGATCTACGGTCGTGTTTGTTTGTTGTTGTGCACAGTCGGTTCGACGGACAGTTCTCGGAGGTGGATAGACCTCCTACCCTGGCACGTCGATTCAGGAATTGGCCGTTTTGGGTTCGCGAGAGGGCGTCGCGGCCGTCATTTTTGCGGGTCCAGGTCCGTCGAATTCGGTCCCAGGCCGTTTTCACTAAGGGGAGGTTTACTAAAGGGAGGTTTCTCCACCGCCGAAATTAATTTCGGGATGCCGCAATTTTGCAGTCGATCCCCTATTCGAAGGAGCATGGCGAGGGGGGGGAGGCCCTGTGGGCAGACGAGGAGCCCGCAGAGGCGGTCGCCCGAGAGCTCGTGCTGCTCTGCTCCCGGGCTGCCGGCCACGCCGAAGAGCGGCCTCTCGCGGAAGTGCCCTTTGGTTAAGTCGGGCACGTCCCTCTACAGGAGAAATGTTGAAAAATAGTCAAACCATAGTTTTTTGGGCGACTTTTTTAAATAATTGTTTGATCATTGGGGGGTAATGTTTGAGTATTTGTTTTATTTTTCGTCCAAAATCCCTCTGTAGGAGGACAGGCCCGACATAACCCTGTGGGTTCGGGGAAAACGTAAGACTCGAGTGCGCCGTGACTCGGGTTTGCCGACGCTTTTTTGACGAGCGCGTCCTGGATTCTGACGGTCTATAGCTCTCGTGGGACGTCTACAGCGGGAGCTGGCGTCAAATTTCAGATTGGGTCTCGTCATTTTCATTGATGGCCCCGTCAGGCCAACCCGAGTCTCCCGAACTCGAGTCTTACGTCTCCCCGATTTGTGCGCGGTGTTTGTGGGGGGGCAGGGGGGCAAAACCACAGAGGAGGAAAGGGTATCCATACCTCTACCCGTTCCTCGTTTTCAATTTGTTTAGGCCGCCCGAGAGGCCCTCGTCGCCAACGCTGGAGTCGCCTGGACATGATTACTGGGTCAGAACGCACCCCAGGAGAGGTCCGGGGAGTAGCGGTATCAGCACCTTCTGTCGCAGGCCTCGAGGTTCACACCAGCACCACTGTCGGCGGCGTGCTTCCACGGAGGGACGAAGGTCCCGATCTCGAAAGTGCTGGTAAGATTCTGGCTGTCAAGGAGACCGAAGTCTTGCCGCCAACACCGAAAGCTAGGATCCTCTTTCCCTGTGTTGGTGCTGGTGCCAATCTCTAGGCCTCCAATGTGCAGCCGAGGCTGGCCTCCTGGACCACCTGGTCCAGTCCGAGTTGCCGCTGGCGCGCCAGCGCTCGCAGATCGCGGTGATTGCGGCGATGGTGGGCTCCGTCGAGAAAGGCCGGCGGCGCGCACAAGGGGGCACTGATATAGTGCGAGTCAGGGGCGAGGTCCTCCTCCTCCTCCTCCTCCGCCCTCCTCCTCCTCCTCCTCCTCCTCCTCCTCCTCCTCCTCCTCCTCGTCCTCCACCCCCTACGGGGTGGCCTTCTGAGAAGGCGTGGGGGCTTCTAAGAAGGCTCCGTAGAGTCCCTCCCGGCCCTCCCAGGGGCCGCCTCGGAAGCCCTCCAGGCGCTTCCAGGAGGGCCCCGCACTCTGAGAAGCCCCCCAAACCTTCCCTGTGATCCGACGCCGCGGAAAGTTCAAGTACGGTGAAAACTGTTGACGTTTCGCATATCCCCAGCAGCCCATCCACAAACGATGCCGGTGACCAGGGAGTGTAGGAGCAAGATCGGGAGAAGCCGGTTTCTGTCGAATGAGGAGGACAATGAGTGAATTGAGGAGGAGGATGGGGGGATGAGGAGGAGGAGGTGGAGGAGGAGGAGATAGAAGGAGAAGGACCAGGCAGATGAGAGGCAGGAGGAGCAGGAGGAAGAGGAGGAGGAGGAGGAGGAGGAGGAGGAGGAGGAGGAGGAGGAGGAGGATAACATGGAGGAGGAGGAGGAGGAGGAGGAGGAGGAGGAGGAGGAGGAGGAGGAGGAGGAGGGCGAGCAGGAGGTAAGAGGCTTCCTAGCAGGCCTATTAGACCGTCTTGGATGCCTCTTGGCAGTCTCGGTCTCTTTGGGCGGTGCCGTTGAGGGGTGCCTATTGAGCGCTCTTAGGGCCGTCTAGGCACCTCTTGGGGGCCTCTTGGGGCACTCTTGGGAGCCCTGGAGGCCATCTTGGGGGACATCGGTCAAAGAAGCGGGGGTCTTTAGTGAACCGTGCACGTCTAGAGCCTCTAAATATCGCCTCTTGGCGCCCTCTTGGCGCGCTCTTGGAGCGCTCTTGGGCGCTCTTGGGGCCGTTTTTGGGCCCTCTTGGGCCCCTCTTGGGGCCATCTTGAGACTTCGGAAGGCCATCGGAAACGACAAGGCGTGACAGGAACATACATCTATCATCTATGTAGATGATCTTATATGCGTGTGAGGGTATGTACATCTATTTCGTGTGGTGTTTGCAAAGGTTTGGGCTTCTTGAGGGCTCTCTTGGGGGTGTTCCGAGGCCACTTGGAGCCGTTTTGAGGAGGTCTTGGAGCCTCTAGGCGCATCTTGGAAGCCATCTTGAGCAACATTTGAGCCATCTTGAGTCGTCTTGGAGGCCATCTTGGAGGCCCTCTTGGAGCCATCTCGGACGCTCTAATGGGTCGCGGGACGCCCCGTAGGTGGTAGGAGGTCCAGGGGGAGGGGTACCCACCTAGAGGAGGGTAGGTCCAGGGGGAGGTCCGGGGGGGTAGGTCCATGAGGAAGGAGGGGGGGTAGGTCCAGGGGAAGGTGGTAGGGGGAGCGGTCAAGCTACCCACCCAAATAGCAGACGTCTAGCTCACTCCCACCCGACCTCCCAACACATGAGTAACATCCGAGTACCACCAGATCGCCTAGGGACGCCACACATGCCATGCGCGCCACAGGTTCTAGGTGCACCAGGCACCTTGGAGGCCCAAGCGTGCCAGGTGCGGCACATGCTCCACGTGCGCCAACTGTGCCACGTGCTCCAACCGCGCCAGGTGCGCCAGCTACGGGGAAAACATAGGGACCCCCGGTGCGCGGGAAGGAGTTGAGGATCTTGAATCCCCCTGAGGCGAAGTGCCGTGCATTCTGTGAGAAGGGCGCTCCTTCCAGGGAGCGCAAAACAGCGGCACCGATGGACAACTTGTGACATCTTGAGGGGCCGTGAAACAGGTGAAACCTCACAGAAAGGAATGCCCTGCGCATGCTCCAGATGTGGAGCCAAAGTGTATGTTTGCATAGCTTTTGACAGAGATGATTGGCCTGCTCGCAGCAAGCAATGTGCTAGCACCTTCGCTGTTTCTGTCAAAAACCGATGCGAAGTGGTCGCGTGGTTCCCGCGCATGCGCCAGATTTAAAGGCAAAGTGCATGTCGCATTGTTTCTAACCAGGGATAGTAGGGAGTTGGGCTCATTGGTCCGGGTTGGCTGCTGGTCGCCTGGGGAAGAAAGTGTTCACTAATAAGGAACAGTGAGACACCCTTCCCCAAAGGGGAAGAAGGGGGTTGGAAGAGAAAACTCGCTGAAGCTCTCACGCCCAGAAGGCTGGTGGGAATCACGACCGGAGCCGTAGACACCATCTTTCTGCTGCATTTTTCGAGCCGGATCAAGCCACGAGGGCCCTGGGGCTCGAAGCCAGGCACAATCGCTCGTCATGACAAAATGCGACGCCAGGACCTCGAGGCTATGAGAGGGCCGCTCCTTCTGAGAAGGCCCCCGCCTTGCGGGGACAAGAAGACTATGACCGACACCGCTGCTCCTCGGACCACTCCTGGGGTTCTTTCTGATTAGGATTGTGGAGGACGATCAATAGAGAGGAAGCATATGGCCAAAGACTTCCCACACGTCTAAAACATGTAAGACAGATCTTCAACATGTAAACCATGTTTAACACAGGCTTAGAACATGTTTCCTACATGTTCACAACACTTTACATTAAATGATAGGACTGTCCGGGTGTCCATTGTCGTGGCATCCGCAAGACTAGGATTCCGAGTCGAGTCTGGCCGTGGCGACGAGGGCTCGCCAGGACGAGCAGCGGCATCTGTTGCCCTCCCCTGACCCTCACTTCACCCAGACCTCCGACGACATGACCTTTTCACGACGTGGACCCCAGATCGGACAATTTGTTCCTCCTGGCTCGTTTCTCGACGTCCCCGAGGCCTGGCAGGACCCCCCAGAAGCGGAAAATAGCGAAAAGCTGTCCGTCGTTTATTTTTCGGCGGCCGATAGAGGGGGATGCTGACAAGGGGGTGGACATCATGGCCGATGCCATGAGATCTCCCCAGATGTCATGGCCCCTTTTTCTATTTTCTGATTTTTTAATGCGTCCCCCAGTCCCTCCTCTCGTCCGCGAACGTGCCTCGGGCCATGTTTTGCGAACCCCCCTCTCTTGGACGCTCCCCCCCCTGGGCGCCCCCTATTCTTTCCCAGCAGTGCGACGTCGTGATTTTTTCTGTCTTCGGCGTCCCCGGAAGTCCAGACCCTTTCCCAGGGGCCGGCTTTCCAGTCCAGAGTGCTTTTGAGACGGCCCCGGTGCCTTCGAGCTCCCCTTGGGGCCGAAAATTGCGAACGCCTCCCGTCCTGATTTTTTCCACGACGCGATCATGTCTGCGAACCCCCCTCCCTTGGACGCCCCCCCCCCTTGGACGCCCCCGATTCGTTTCTGACCCGAGTCGCCTGGACGAGGAGGAGGAGGAGGAGGAGGAGGAGGAGGAGGAGGAGGAGGAGGGGGAGAAGGAGCGAGGGGGGGCGAGGAGCTGGAGGCGGCGGAGGGGGATGAGGAGGAGGGAGGGTGGAGGAGGAGGAGGAGGCAGGACGGAGTGAGGCGGAGGAGGTGGCAGGAGGAGGTAGGAGCAGGCGGGAGGACGGCGGAGGCGGAGGCGCGAGGAGGAGGAGGCGGACGGGCGGAGGGGCAGTAGGCGGAGGAGGAGGGAGGAGGAGGGGAGGGGAGGGAGGAGGAGGAGGAGGAGGAGGGGAAGGCGGAGGAGGAGGGGGGAGGTGGAGGATGGTGTGAGGTGGGAGGGAGGAGAGAGGAGGAGGTGAGGAGGGCGGAGGAGGAGGAGGGGAGGGGTGAGGCGGAGGAGGATGGAGGGAGGAGGAGGAGGAGGAGGAGGAGGAGGAGGCGGCGGAGGAGGCGGAGGAGGAGGAGGAGGGGTGAGGAGGAGGGAGGAGAGAGGGGCGGGAGGAGAGGAGGAGGGGAGGAGGAGGGAGGAGGAGGCGGAGGTTGGGAGGTATTGGTGGGAGGAGGAGGTAGAAGCGGTAGGAGGAGGCGGAGGCGGCGGAGGCGGAGGCGGAGGAGTGAGCGAGGGGAGGAGGAGGCAGGACGAGAGCGGAAGGAGGAGGAGGAGAGGAGGAGGAAGGAGGCGGAGGAGGAGCGGAGGAGGAGGAGGAGGAGGAGGAGGAGGAGAGGAGGAGGAGGAGCGAGGAGGTGGTGCGAGGATTGGTGGAGCGAGGAGGAGGAGGAGAAGGACGAGATGAGGAGGACGAGGAGGAGGAGGAGGAGGATGTTGAGGAGGAGGAGGACGCCCCCGATGCCATCCTGACCCGAGGCGCGGCGCTGGCGCTGCCCAGGCTGGGCGTGCGCAGCCGTGCCCTGCTCCTCCGCGCCCTCGCTCTCGGCTGCCCCGCCAGCGGCGAGGGGCGGGCGGCCGCCCGTGCGGCGCTCTCGGAGGCCACGAGGGAGACATTGCCCTGGCCAAGCGCGCCAGGAGCGGCAGAGGTGAAGAGGAGGCGGGTCAAGGAGGAGGAGGAGGAAGAGGAGGAGGAGGAGGAGGAGGAGGAGGAGGAGCAGGAGGAGGAGGAGGCGGGGGAGGAGGGGGAGGGGGAGGTGAAGGAGGAGGAGGAGTAACTTGGGCACGTGCCCCTTCAGGAGAAAGATTCAACAATTGTCGAGCTAATCATTCTGGGCCCAGTTTCTTAACATTGTTTAATTTTCCTGTTTTCTTCCAAGATCCGCCTGTAGCAGGACGTGCCCGACCTAACACCAGGGGGAACTGCCCTGGCCAAGCACCCTGTAGGGCAGGAGAGGCGAAGAGGCGGGTCGATGGGTAAGAGGTCGAGACACGGCCACCCTGAGATCTGGGCTTGGCACCACCTGTTCCGCCACGGGCGCTTCGGCGCAGTTTTTGGGCCCGGGGGCCCTCACAGATCGACCCGGCTCGAACATGGGGCAAGAAGATGGGCCCCAGGGTTCCGAAGTGATGTTTCACCCTGTTGCGCTAGTCGTTCGCAACGAAGCAAGATGGCGTGTGGGGCCCTGGTGTTTATTTTTCGCTATGTTGCGGTTGTTGTTCACAACTTCGTGTCTCAGGATTCGGGCCATTTTCGGTTTCGGCGAGCCCTCACTGGACCCCGGGACCATCAGACAATGACCCGGGATGAAGTTGCCAGCGAAGGGTATCTTATGGCTCTGCTGGTGATTTGTCACAATGCCGCGTTTGTTTCGCAACGGAGGATCCCAGGTTTTGGGTCATCATCTGTTTCGGGCGGCTTTCTCCGGGCCCTGGGACCATCAGAAAAAAGGACTCTGAACGAAGTTGTCCAAGCAAAGCATCTTAATGGCAGCAAGGGGGACGAGGCGGGTCGAGGAGGAGTAAGAGGTCGAGTCACGGCCATGTGTACTTGGGTTTGTCTTTTACCAGACACCCTGAGATCTTGGCGTTGCTATTTTTCACAATGGGCGTTTGGGCCCAGTTTCGGACAGCAGGACCATCACAGATCGATCCGGCTGGAGAATTGAAGCGGAAAAATCAGGTACAGGGCTTTGTCGCGATTTCACGCGCAGTTTCCATTTGGTCGCAAAGTCGGATATCAGGGTCTGAGCCATGGTCTGGTGCGGAAGGTCACACCGGGCCGCGGGACTGTCAGGTAAGGACCCTTGGGTGGAGTTGCCCCAGCAACGCACCCCGATAGCAGCAAAGGTGAAGAGGCGGGCCGAGGAGGAGGATGTCCAGACACGGCCACGTGCGAGCTCGTGAGCCATGTGCGATGGATCTTGGCTGTCTGCACCAGCAGTGCAGCTGGTACTGAGGCGCGAGCGCGTTTCCCGAGTGCCGAGCGTGTGAGGAAGCGTCTGGCGAAACGGCTGCCAGACCTTACGTCCCAGGGCTCCCCATCTCACCTGATGGACTCCTTTGTGGCCCCGTTGGAGCACGATCAGATGCTGGTAGCGAGACGCTGTTCGGGAGTCGGCTTTCGACGGTACGACTGTCAGTCCGTCCCCGGCAAAGTGCCGTCGTCCCAGATGTTCGGCGATGCGATTTCCTGTCCCCTGTCGATCGGACGAGGAACATGAGAAAATCTAAGCTCCGCGCGGATCTCTTCGGTCGGCGCTGGGCCGCCTTGGCGTCGCCTCTGGCCCCGCCCTTGGCTCGCTCCGCGCGCCATGGCGGGGGCGCCCGCGCCAGGGCAAGAAATCTTTGCGGAGCTCCGCAAAGTGATGGTCATGCCGTGTCTTCTTCTGGAGGCGCTTTCCCTGGACCGCGGCGGGCTGCTCCAGCTCGCGCTCGAGGCCGGCGAGGGCGCGGAGGGCATCCCCGAGGAAGGAAAGGCGGCACGAGCTCGCCTTGAAGTTGACGTGTCCTGATGAAGACGGGTCCAGAAATTGTTCGACGTTTCCGGGCTCCTGGGGCCCTCCACAGGCCTCGGAAACGTCGGACACCAATTTGGAATGAAGAGTTGGTTCTGGCGGAACACCCCCCCCGGAAGACCCTTGTCTCTCAGGACCTGTCTCGTTCTGGCCAAGCAAGCACATGCGGTCAAGACGTTGATGCAATAAGCAGTTTCGGTCTCGGAAGGGGCTCTATGTTCGCTAGGTCTATCCACGGTTGTTGCTCCCACGCTCATCGGGCACCCAGGCGTTATGGGGACCATCAGAGGCTTCGTTTCTTCTTCAGCGTTCTTTGTGGCATCAGGCTTGGCTGAGAACTTCTGAGGTCCGCGCAAACTCCCTGGATTGGTGCTGGATCCACTGCCTGGCGCGCGCGGATTGCGCCAGGGGCTGCGTCAGAGGCTCCGCCAGGGGGGTCCAGCCCCGATCCCACAGATCCGCGCGGACCTCCGATAGTTTCTGCCTGCGTCGCTGTTTCTTCCTCCACGTCTGGCCGCCGGGCGCCCACCTCAGGGACGAGGTGCTTCCCCTCCTGCAGCAGGCCTGCTGGACCAACCCGGCGCTGTGCTCCGCAGTCGCCTCGCGGCTCAACTGGGCGTCTGGGGACGCGGGCGCCGTGTTGCGGCTCGCTGCTGGGCTGGCGGTGCGCGAGGAGCCATTGCGGCTCGGCGAGCCGGAGGACGAGGAGGCCGTGCTGGCGGCGCTGCGGCCGCTGCCGCCGCTCCGGCAGTTGGCCCGCCTGCTCCAGGCTCCACCGAGCGCGTTCCACTACTCGCATGCAAAGTGCCTGCTCGCAAACGCCCGGAAAAACACATGTCTGCTTCGATGTAATTTCTCGTAGATCCCCCCCGGCGGATCCAGGCCATTTGCGTGTAGCTACACTGCGAGTAGTGGAGTGCGCTCGTCTACTGCCAGGGCCAGGCCGACCCAGCGCTGGCCGCCCTGGTGCGGCGGGCCGTGGCCGCGGAGGGGGGGGTGCTGCTGGGCCCATTTTCTGCCACCGCTACCACAGGTAGGAGAGGGAGAGGGAGGAGGAGGAGGAGGAGGAGGAGGAGGAGGAGGAGGAGGAGGAGGAGAAGGAGGAGGAGGAGGAGGACAAGCTAGGTGCGCTCGCGTCATATCTGACGTCCTACCCCTCCCTCTCATCCCTTACCATGGCGCTGATTTTCTCTATCCGCGGACGCGTGTCGTAGCGGACCTGTGGCTCCGCGCGCGCGTGGGTAGTGGGTGGTGGTGCACGTGCGTGCGTGCGTGCGTGTGTGCGTGGTTGTCGTGGTGGTGGTGGTGGTGGTGGTGGTGGTGGTGGTGGTGGTGGTGGTAGTGGTGGTGGTGGTGGTGGTGGTGGTG